GCCAGAGAGAAGTCAATATTTACCCACGTTAATGATGAACTCAAAGCAAACACCACAGGGGCACTACGCTTCCTCTTGCCAAATGTCAAACCTTCCACGCTGGGGAGAGGATCTTTCCAGGAGCTGCACTTGGCTGCCTTCCCGTCCCAGCCCAGACCCCAGCTACACTCTGGGAGGCCAAAAGGCCACTCCCTTCCCTTCACCAGAGAACGAATGTTGAACCACCAGTTGGCACTGACTGACCTCAGTGGAACTGGCGATGTTGAGACATTCCTCCATACCCGGGATCTCCAGCTGCAGCACCTTCAGGTCTTTGCACTTGAGTGTGATTGTGCCCAAGGAACTTGCAACCCTGTGGGGAGATGCCAGACAGGAGCTGGGAGTCAGACCCTGTGTCCTTGTCTCTTTGATCAACCACAATCCAAACTCCCAAGGTGAACTCCAGCTGCTGCATGTGTAAGCATGGGTGCATGCGAGCATGGGTGCATGTAAGTAAGAGACGTGACAGAGAGAGGCAGGTGAGAACTTTAGTGTGCATGGGAACATCTGTGTGTAAGAATGTGTCGAATGGCTTCATTGCCCAGGCTGCTGCTCAGGAAGCTCAGTCCAGCCCGAGAGGTGCACGTCTGCTGGGCAGTGGCTTGCATGGTTTGCCCTCACGGCTGCCCTGGAGGGTGGGTAAACGTGTGATCGTGGAAGCGTGGCTGGGGCTGTGCACGTGTAGGTGCAAATGTGGGAGCATGTGCTTGGGAGGGTCTGAACGGGATGACTGTGAGGAGCGTGTGTTATTCCACCTGTCCCCAGGGTGTAAAGGACGGGGGTTTCCAGTCCTTCTGGAGGAGCTCAGGTGCGTTGTTGTCAAGCTGCCCCATCCCTGAATGCTACGATGGAGGCATCGTTCACTCTGACTGCCAGGCCCCACCTTCTCCCCTGTCTTTCCCCGACTCCTGACAGAAGCAGTGAGGCCAGGGTCCTCCCCACCTCTCTGGGGAGAGGATACTAAAGCATGCGTTGCAGACACAGGTGCCTGGTGCCCCAGCCCAGCGCAGCCGTCTGAGTGGGAAGCTGCTCTCTGGTTAATGCAAAGCCAGGCGTTTTAGGTGGGTTAGAGCCAATACAGGGGTAAAAGCCAAACCTGGTGTCTTGGTGGGAGCTGTTAGTCCTGGAGGTTTGGTACCAGCTTAGGTTCTGAACACTGAGTCACAGAAAAGAAGAGAGGTTATTGCACAGGGGTTGAGCTGCACCATCTGACTAGCCCCGAGGGCAGAGGAGAGAATGGAAAAAGAGGCGAAAGCCTGTTCTGTCCCCTAACCAGCTGCTCTCCCCGTGCTGGATGCAGTGCTCAACTGGGACACTCAGCAATGGCAGCTGAAGGCAGAGTTTAGTGTCTCGTCCCAGCCCCCGCTCTATGCTGGGTGCAGAGTTGGTGAGATCCACTCTGTCGTTCTCTGGGTCACCATGGCGGATGGGCACCAAGGGAGGATAAGTGAATGGTGAACAGTGTGGGTGGTGCCTGTAAACAAGAGACAGACCCCTGGTTCAACACACACACACACACACACCCCAGATCTGGGGGCGTGAGCCATGTGACTCCCACTGACGCCAATGGGCCCATCGCAGCTCTGACCACCCACAGGCTCTCTCTCTCACTCAGAGGGTGAGACGGTGTCGGACACACGCCTCCCCAGTGGGACATCATGAAGGCGGCAGGAGAGACTCACCTTTTCTCAACAGCGTCCACGTTCCGGATGAGAAGCCAAAGCTCCACCGTGCCCTGCTCCCCGTTGCCCCCGGGCTGGGACGACAGCAGCAGGTGATGGCTGGTGATGCACAGCGTCCCCTTGATCGGCGGGAGCCCAGAGCATGAGAGCTGCACGTTCTCCACCTTCGCTGTCTTGATCAGCTCTGCAAACTCCATGGCGATGGCAGCGGTGCCGAGCTGAACCCTGGCAAGGAGCGCGGGGCGCCTGGCACAGAGAGCCCCAAAGAATTGTCACGTGTCCTTCCTGAAGGGCTGATGGGCAACCGCGACCAGACAAAGTCCTCTGCCAGCACCTAAAATGGCCAGAAAAGGAGATGGAGACTCAGTGTGAGATGGGGGACAGGCCGTGGGAGGCGCCTCACCGACTCTCTTTGCCATCTCCTTCCACCCCCTCCTACAGGTTCATGCTTCCCTCTTTCCACAGTACTCTCTTAGGCCAATATAGGGTCACCCCCTGCAGGCTAGTCTCCATTGCTTTATTCGATCCTTTTTAAACGACCCACAGGAATCACGGCTTAGGGCACATGGAACTTTCCATCTGCAAAGCATGGCCGGAGCACTACCTAATTCAGCCCTGGATCCTGTCCTGGGAGTGGGTCAGTGTCATTAGCTCCACTTTACAGATGGAGGCACCGAGAGGCAATGTGACTTAGTCAAGGGCTCAGAGGGAGTCAGTGGCAGAACCAGGGTTAGCACTTGGGGAGGAGTTCCCAGCACCTAGGCTTGTGGTCAGGCTGCCGAACCATCCCTCTGTCTCTCCTTGCGTATATGTGTACATAGATGATGGAACAGCCATATCGGTCATCAAAGGTTATTCTTGAAATCTGATTATGTTTAGCTGCAAGTGAAAATCCATTGCAAGAAGCTATTGTTATTATTTAGGATTTGTAGTGTGGAAGCATGGAGGAGCCTCAACCAGGGATCAGGGCCGTAATGCACTAGGAGCTGTACAAACCCAGCCCTGCTCCAAAGAGCTTCCAATCCATAATTCATCCTTGGAGGCTGAGGAGTTAGCCCCCTTCCTCTATTCCCAGGCACGCTGGGCTCCAGAATAGACAGACCCCTTTCTAAAACCAGAAACCACTTCAGAGCTGCTCCGCTTGGCCAGGCTTGGTATAGGGACGCTAGACAGAACCTGCTCAAACCCCCTTCGCCCCTAAGGAATGGGGGGAGGCAGGGATGCCTGCCCCATCTTGGGGAACAGGCTTCTCTTTTGGAATAAGCAGCAGCAGGAAGCAAGTGATTAATACCCCCCAACATCTGCCCCCAGCAACGGCCACTGCCCTTACCTGTTTCTGGAATGGCAACCCTCAGGCTGCCTTCGGAGAGCTGGGTCAGCAGAGGGGGCAGGTCCTGCTCAAGGGGAACTTGAGCCCAAACCTCTAGCGCTGGGATCAGGACCGCAAAGGAATTCTTTGGCTGGAAAAGCCATGCCCCAGCGAACAGGGGAGCCCCGATGCTGGCAGCAGAGACTGCGCCACAGAGATGGGCACAGCGGCTTCTGCAGCAGGCATGCAATACCTAGCGGCAGCTGCTGCTTCTGAGAAGCTGGTGATAAGCATGTTCTGATGCAGGGGTTGTGAAACACAGCAACAGGAACTGAGCAGGCTGCCGTGTGGGTGAGGCCGAGAAGCAGAGACGGAGGATGTCGGGTTTAAGGTGGCCTGGCTCCAGTTTTTGATTTAGTTTCTCCCTGGTGGGAGGCTTGTGCAGATGAAATGAGCCTAGGCTTGGCCCTGCAGGGACCCAAGAGCTTTGCCTTTGAGTCACTGCAGGGGGCTTTTCGCAGGCTCAGGGTCGTGATGGGCGGGTAGGGGGGAAAGAATCCCACCTGGAGATGATGGGGTCCCTCCTGGGGAGGATGGGGCAGCGGAGGAAGTAAAGTTCTGGGGATACCAGGGTGACAGAGGGCCTCAATTTTTTGGGGGCGGGGGAGAGAAGGGGAACCTGCCCGTTGGAGGCACAGGGCTCCTAGCTTCAGGCACCTTGGGAGGGCTGAAGAATTGAATCTGTGGAAAGGGGACAGAGTCTCTCTTCTTCAAAGCAGGATCCCTGAGCTGGGGAGGGAGCTGGGGAAATTGAGGGCATTCCGGTCAGAGAGTGCTAGAGACAGGCCTAGAGGGAGTGGGGTGGGGGGACAGCTGGCTGATAGAAATATGCACAGTGAGTTGTGACTAGTAAACGATTCCCCTCCAGACACTGTAGACTCCTTTACCTGTCCTCAGTGCCACCGTCTCTGTTACCCAGGGCACGTGCCCAGATCCAGCTCTGCAGTCTCTGTTACCCAGAATTCCCCAGGCCCACTGCCAGCAACCAGCGCTACAATCTCTATTACTCAGAAGCCGCGAGGGCCCCTGCCCAGACCCAGCACCACATTCCCTGTTCCCCATCTACCCCATGTTTCCTTCTCTGCCACAGGCTGGGCATTTTTTACCTGTCACCCTGTGCTGAATGGTCCTTGTTTTTCTGTATGGGGTGTGCATAGGGGTAAGAAATGCTGCATTCTGCCTCTGCACTGCAATCTCCTTAGGTTGTCCATTCTCTCCAGGGCCCCCGGGTTCCACCTTAAATGCAGCACAGCTGTGGAGAAGCAAATAGACTACTGGTTAAAGTGACCTGGCCAGAAGCCTTGAGCACGGCTGGGAGACGGGTGACCAATGAGAGTCCTCAAATGGTGGGGTTTATTAGCAGAATTGTAGGTCCAGGAAGCCCTATAGCTGGGATCCGGGGGAGAGACCCCCCCAGGGCACAGAGCAAACCCACACACCCTAGCTTGGCCTTCCCTCTGAAGGTATCACAAAGGGTGTGTGGCCGACTCAGCATGGCCCAAACGGTGACCCGCAGGGGAGATACTGTGAGATGCCACATGCCCATTCAGATCTCACATGGGATATCAGCCATGTGGCTAAGGGTGTCCTTTGCTGTTCTTCCCTGAGGTGGCCGAGGGGTTTCTCAGGGACTCTGAACAGAAACCCCCTCTGTAGTGAACTCCAGTGTTTCTTGGGGACTCTACACCAGCCCCTCCATGCCAGGCCTCTCCTTCCTCTAACCTCTCCTGCCTGATCTGCCCAGCACTGTATGATCCGCCCTTGGCGCTGTATAAGTGCCTGGGGGTGGGGCAGGAAAAACCCTGAACAGAGCTGAGCTTTTTTATTTTTCTTTTTTCTGTTTTTTCTTTTTTTTTTTTATGGCTCTGTAGCAGCCTTGAATCTCAAGTGACCTTTCAGCCTCCCTTGATCTCAGAGCTGGGTGGAGAAGCAGTTTCATTTCTGTCCTGATAATAGACTGGGAAGGGAAGGCATGTCTGTGGGATAAATTACTTTTCGCTCCTACAGTCCTTTATGTCCCCAGTGAAACTTCCTTTCAAAGAACAGGGTGTCTCCTCCCAGCTGGAGACAATAATATTTTTTTAAAAAAAACCCACCTCCCCAGGCCTCCAGGCAATTAAAGTTCCTGCTCATTTATAATCATCATCGAGTTCCAAGGCTTTATTGTTCATTCCAGAAATAAATAGTTCTCCTGCTCACACGCGCACACACAGAGCGAGCCAGCTCTGCCACAGGCAAACGCTCCTCTCTCTTGCACCTTGCAAGCACAGCCATGTCCTACAGCCACCTGAAGTTCAAGGAGCTAGGAGAAGAGGAGTCGAACTTGGACAAGGAGAACCTGGACAGCGTGAAGGCCCTGACGGCCAAGCTGAAGCTGCAGACTAGGAGGCCTTCCTACTCGGAGTGGAAGGCCCGAGTGCAGAGCCAGTCCTGGAGGAATGGGGTCAAGGAGGGAGCCATCAGCTCGCTGAAGGAAGAGCAGGGAGGAGAGGTGTTTCTGGAGGGGACTCAAGCCAAAGTGCCGTCCGGGAGCATCTGTGGGTTTGCCACCATGGATGATGCCCTGGAGTGGCTCAGGGAGGAGCTGGTGAGTACCCCCTGGTAGCTCTGTTGGGAGCACGGCCTCTGTGGGTGAAGAGCAAGGGACAGAGACAGCAAGAGATCTTAAACCATTATCCCAGGCCCCGCAGCGGTAGGGCTCCTGGGCTGTGGAGCTCGGCTTGACATCCCCAGGGCTAAAGGGAAATGGGACAGAGAACACCTGGGAAAAGGGGAGGGAGTATGAGGATGCTGAGGAGGAGGAGAGAGCCCCTGCCGTGGGCTGGGTGCTCAGCAATTCAATTTGTACCTGGCTTGGGTGTCACATCCATGGCCCGGGGGGGGGGGGGTCGATTTTAAAGGTGGCACTAGGCTGGTTTGTTCTCCATCACCCTGCTTACTTCAGCCCTCTGCACCTCGAGCAGGGCTCATTCCCCAGGTTAGTGCCCCAGGAATCCCAGCTGGTGCTTGGCATTGTCTTGTCCATGTACAAATGAGCCGTTTTGATGCCAACGTGCCCATTTCGGTGCCTACCTAATCTCCCTAACTCTGGTGTTTATAGGCCTCGATTGACATTGTCTTCGAGCATTTGTGTGTGTGTGTGAGCTGTGTCTCTCTGCAGGTGCGCTGCAGGGGGACCCCCCCTGCCTGGAAGGGCTGGTTGCTTTACCCTTGCAGCGGGTCGGTGCGGATACATGGCAACATGGTTCCTCCCTGAATCATTCTGGTGCGCAAAGCATCACCTCTCACAGCTGTGGCTGGCCCAGTGCATTCTGGGACTCCTGGAGCACCTGTTCCCTAGTGCCCTGTTGTAGGAGTGAGGGCATCATGGGTTTCCAAGCGTGCGGCACTGCTGTGTGGGCGGGAGTTTGGGGGGCCAGCTGACCTCGGGCAGCTGCAAGGGTCATGGCTTCCTCTCCATGCTCGGGGGAAACCGTTGTAGCCAACACCGGCTCGGCTAGACCTCACTCCTGGGGTTGCAACCAACCATTACAGTCAATGCTTGTGAAAGGTCTGGGCAGCTCGGATGTGTGGGCGTGGGGGGCTGCACATGTTCTGCCAGCTCAAAGTGTTCCAGGCCCCATTTGTTGCAACGCTTCTTTGCTTAGTGTAGACACGGCCTGTGTGTGTGTGTGTGTCTCTCTGCATGTTTGTGTGTCTGCATCAGTGCAACTGTGTATTTGTATGTTTGTCCCCAGCGTGGTCCACAAGTCTGTAAGTGCTCGCACACGTCTGTCTTTCTGGTTGTCTGCACGTTTCAGTATGTTTGTGCCTCTGCGTTTGTGTGTCTGTGTCTGTACATCTGTGTGTGTCTCTATCTCTGCCCAGATATCTCTGTGGGTGTCTGTCTATGCATCTCTGTATATTTGTGTGTCCATCTGCATGTCTCTCTCTGTCCATGAGCGTCTCTGTATCTCTGTCTTTCACTCCATACATCTGAAGAAGTGGGGTTTTTACCCACGAAAGCTTATGCTCAAATAAATCAGTTAGTCTTTAAGGTGCCACCGGACTCCTTGTTGTCTCTGTCTGTGTGTCTTTCTGTCCATCTCTTGCTGGGTGTCTGCGTGTCTCTGTGTGTTTGTTTCTGCAGTGTGTCTCCACCGTGTGTCTTCATGTCTCTGTCTGGGTGTCTCTGTGTGTTCGCATGTCTCGGGGTTGCCTCTGGCAGTGTGGCTCCATGTTCCATGTCTCTATCTCTGTCCATGATTCTCTGGGTGACCGCATGTCTCAGGGTTGTCTCTGGTGCTGTGTATCTCTGTCTCTCTGTGTGTTGGCATGTCTCGGGGTTGTCTCTGTCTGTCTGTGTGTCGTATGTCTCAGGGTTGTCTCTGGCAGTGTCTCTCCATGGTCGTCTGCGTGTCTCCATAGGAATGTCTACACAGCAAACATCAGCCTGCAGCAGCGACTCTCAGAGCCCCAGTCACCCAGCTCAGGCTACCGTGCTAAAACCAGCCGTGCAGCTATTGCAGCTTGGGCTCTTCAGCCCACCCCCTCCCTAGGCTTCAAAGCCTGAGCTCCAGCCCATGTCACAACATCTACACAGCTAATTTTAGCATGGCGGCTCGATCCTTGCAAGCCTGGCGGCGTTGACCCGGACTCTGAGACTCGTTGCCGCAGGCTGCCACTTGACATACCTCATGCGTCTGTACCTCTGTCTTTGTGTCTGCGCACGTCTGTGGCTCTGTCCGTGCGGCTCTGCATTAGGGCTGCTCTCTGACTCAGTGACAGGGGTGACCTGTGCTCCAGCTGGCCCCCTAAAGGTTCCCCTTTCCTCCTCTGCACAGCAGGAGATGCAGGCTGTGGATCACCAGTTGGCACGGCAGCTGATGCGGCTGCGGGGGCAGATTCACCAGCTGAAGGTGGAGCAGGTGTGCCACCAGCACAAGGAGATGCTGGACAATGCCACCTTTGGCCTGGAGGGCTGTGAGGAGGACACAGACCTGCTCTGCAACATTCCTCCCAAGGCCGCCTTCTTGCTCTCCACGCCACTCAAGCACATTGGCGTCACACGCATGAACATCAACTCCCGGCGCTTCTCCCTCTGCTGAGGGCCCTGGCCTCCTGCCCAGGGCTGTTTGGGCAGGGCACCTCTTCACAGCCCATCCACATCAGGGGGAGCATTAGCAGGGACCGCTCTCCGGGCCCCAAACCTGGCCAATGGGCGTGCGCATACCTAGAAACTCAGGCTGAAGGCTCGGGTCCTGAGCTGGTGGGTCGGGTTATATACAGGCCAGCGTAGTGGTCAGCCCAGTTATGGAAGCTGAGGCAAGTGGTGAGTGTACAGCGCATTCCCCCCTCCCTGATGACTGGTGTTGCAGGTCTGTGGGCAAGCAGGGCTGCTGCCTCCTGTCAGATGCCACAGCCTGCTGCCCGACCCTCCCCTGCCATTCACAGCCGCCTCTGGTCAGTCCCTGCAGCGTCCTACGCTGGATACAGCAGCCAGCTAGAAACCAAACCTGACCGAACTGAGGCCGGGCTAACGCGCTGCATGGAGAGGTGCAGAGACCTGCCAAGTCAATGCAGTGCTGAGCCCCGCAGGCCCAGGAGGAGCTCAGCACTGCCCCTTGAGGAACTGGAGCCTGTGACTGGTTTCAGTCCCAGCAGCAGCCATGGGGACACTTCTGGGCCTGCCTTGCAAAGACGGGTAGGTGTGCTCTGTGGAACCAGTGCTGCCCACACAGAGGGAAAGCTAAGGGGCTGAGCTCCCACCCTGCCCACCAGATAAGGTTCTTATGCCCTGCAGTAGCCGCATCCCCACCCTTCAGTGCCATAGCTCTGGCCAGGGGCCAGTCCCTCCTCAGCCAGCTCTGTCCTAGCTTAGGAAGCAGCGTCTGTAACTACGTGTCTGTGCTATGCATTTACATTAACCCCCGAGTCACACCTCCCTGAGCTGAAATGCTCGAGCTGCGGGGCCAGAGGTGCACAGGCTGCAGTGGCAGGTACTTGCAGAGAGGGGGCAGGGTTTGGTGAGCAGCTGGGTGAATTCTCCCCAGCATGTGAGCCTCATGGCTCAGCTGGGCGGGGACGGGGGAGGGGAAGGTTATTGCTCTAAGGCATCTGTGATGCATATTACGCTGCTGGGTCCCATTCACTACTGCAGAAAACTCAAGAAAAAAGTTTCTGTGCAGAAATAAAAGACGGCGTCTGCAAAGGTGTCCTTGTTTCCTTCTGTCTCTCACACACAGTCAGCCTGGCTCCATCCCCAGATCAGGGTCAGGGACACACACACAGTCAGCTCCCCTCGACCTGCAGACATATATGATCTGGGACACTGACAAACGGGGCCTCCTTGCTCGGACCCACCCACCCACAGACAGAAAAACACAGGTCAGGTGGAAACACGCAATGAGGGAGAACTGTCTTGACTCTCAGCCTCTGACCGGCCGTCTCTTCCAGTGCGGGCTGCTCAGTCTATCCATCCTTGACCGTGCTGGCAAGTGGTTTTGTGCCCTCGCCCGCTCCCCTTCCACGTCGCTCTTTTGGGTAGCCTTCTAACAAGCCCTGAGAACGTTGGGTTTGTCGCTCTCACTTCCGCTGTGTGTTGTTGTTTCCACTCGGTTTAACTGAGGCCTCAGATGAGGCAGGCGCCCACTGCACAGTGAACCTATGAGCAGCCCTGCCTAGCCAGGTGCCTTTCTCGTTTACGTGCGAATAGGCATGTTGGTTGTCCTCCACGTTTCACCTTCTCGCTGTCTCCTCGTGCGATCATCCCTGAAGACACTTGCAGTTTTCCCCTGGAACTTTTTACGGGCGTGTCTAGAATCTCCTCGGGGAGGGTCATTTTCAGGGGAACATTAGTTTTTACAAACATTACAGTTTTTACTTCATCTGATGAAGTGAGCTGTAGCTCATGAAAGCTTATGCTCAAATAAATTTGTTAGTCTCTAAGGTGCCACAAGTCCTCCTTTTCTTTTTGCGAATACAGACTAACACGGCTGCTACTCTGAAACCTGTCATTAGTTTTTATGATCACAATGGATAATAAATTAATTTGCACTCATCCAAGGATCTCAGAGCACTTTACAAATTCTATTCAAACCAGCTGAGATTGGTCAGTATCATTCTGCCTATTTTAGATATGGGGAAAATGAGGTATAGAGATAGGGCATGACTTGCTCTAAAGATACACAGCAAACCAGTAACAGAGCTGGGAAGAGAATCTAGGAGCTGGTCTTCTTCTCAAACCATTAAACTACCCTCTCTTCCCAGAGCCAGGAATTGAAACCAGGAGTCCTGACTCCAAGCTCCCAGCTCAAAACATAACCGCACATTACCTCTGTTAGAACCAAGAGCTCCGAGTTGCACTAAAGGATCCCATTAAATGATCATCATACTCACAAAATTCAACAGAAATAAAGGAAGATTTCCTGGACTGAATAATTATTAGAGCCAGTTGAAATTTTTAATACAATAAGGTTGTTTTTTTTAATTAAAATATTGGGTTTTTTTTTTAAATCTTTTGCCAAAAAAATTGTCAATGTTAGCGACGTTTTTAGTTTTCTGTGAAAGCCAAGTTGTGACAGGTTTTCTCAAAATTGTTATCAGTAAATAAAAAATGATCACCATTTTGCTGGCATTTTCCATAATGGTTTCCACTTTAAAAAAAGCAGGACAAGTTCTGAAAAAGTGGATCCATTTCAAACCCTTCCAAAAACAAAACAGAAAAACATATGGAAAACTTGAAATTTTTGCAAAACTGCTGTTTCATTTTTTGACCAGCAAAATAATAAATAATAATAATGATGAATTGGTATCAGCTGTTTTTACAGCACCTTTCATTCTGAAAGCGCCAAAAGCCCTTTGTAAACCATATCCAAGAGAGGGGCACTCCGACCGCCACGGAAATGCAGCCATCTTTGGGGTGGGGCCAGGACTTCAGGCAGTGGTTTGAAAAACCATAGCAACATTACACAATACTTTAGGACAGGAAGTCAAGACCTTGTCACACCTGCAGGGGAAATTAGGGCTGCAGAATGTATTTATATTGGCTGGAATCTGGCCAGAGCTCCAGGTTAGCACCTCTGCTGGGTAAGAGAGCTGAATTGAAGAGGTTTAACCATTTGCTCTTGTCCTGTCTCTTCTGAGCGTCTTAGATTCCCCCCCATCGCTTTGCACTATGCTCTCCTAGAGGGGTTCTCTCCAGGGACAGAGTCCCAGCCCAGGATATCCTGAGATCCTCATGCACAGTGCAGTCAATTACCAGCATGAGGAATGCAAGCTGCCAGAGCTTGCGCTGTGATGAGGCTGGAGATGGCTCATTAGTGCTGTTACAAGTGTAGTTGGAAATGGCTCTGTGCTGCGCTCGGGCTAACTGCCCTGCACCCAGGCAACAACCCCCTCTTCAGACTCCTCTGCCACAGATTCAGCTTCCTGTCTTCCCCTCCCCCTGCCCAGCACAGCCTGTTCATACCTGTGGCTTCACATTTGATGTAACAAGCCAAGACAATAGCTTTGCGGTTCCTCTGCTGTCTTCAGCAACTGAACGTGCAGGTCTGGTGGAGAGGGGCTGAAAGTGAAGCTTCACGACTTCGCTCCCCTTTGTCTGGATGGGAGAGAAAGAGTCAAAGCCCTGGTTATCTTCCAGAGACTCTCTCACTCTAGCTTGGTTAATGGCCTTGCTGGATGCTGGGGCTTTCGTCGCTGTGTCTTGCGGCAAGGCAGTGTGGTCCAGTGGCTGGGGCACTGGACTGTGGCTTTGCCGAGCCGTGTTCGCGTCATGCCTGGGACCCTGTGCAGGTCACTTTCCCCTCTGTTTCCACCCTCAGCTCTTTGTCTATTTAGCGTGTAAGCGCTTCAGGGCAGGGACTGTCTCTTGCTAGGTGTATGTACAGCACCAAGCACAGTGGGGCCATTGGCACTACTGTGAAAAAAGGGATCATTTGTGAGGAATAGTCACGGGGCTGAAATAAGAGGAACCAAAGGCTTCACCTAAGGTTTAACTCCACCAGCTTAGCAAGTGTTAAAGGCTGCCCAGCCTTAGCTACTCTGGCCTTTCAGAAGGCATTAGCAAACACAACACTCCTTTAAATAGACAAACCCTTTCAGCTCTCTCTCTCCCTGGGCTAGTATCCAGGGCTTAAATTCACCTGGAGTATTTCCCAGAGCCCTCAGGGCTTCAGCCCCGCGTGAGGTGCCAGGGCTCAGGTCAGATACGATGGGGACGGGGACCATGTAGAACCCAGGGGCAGCGAGTTGTATGGGCCCATGGTGCCCAGGCTCCAGCAAATTCAGGGCCCAGGGGATCCAGCTCCACCAATGTTCAGGGCTGGGTCTCTCCCACGGCCCTGCCTGCCGCCCCCGTGCGCCCCCTCCGCCAAGCATCCCTGCCTGCCCTGGGCCATGGGTGGCTGCCCCTTGCAGCTCCACGCTGCGCTCCCTCACCGGCCGCTGCCAGCTACAAGGGATCGGTGCCAGGGGCAGGCTGAAGCAGCTGCTGCGCCTGCAGAGGGAGGAGGCTTATGGCAAGCCCCCCCCCCCCCCCGGCAGACGACTCCAAGTTGACTGCAAGGGGGGACTGGGGGGCCTATCCTGGCTGGACCTCCTGAGCAGCAGCCTGGGAGGGCTTGGGTGAGTGTCATGCCCTTCCCTGGAGCTCGCTGCTGCTGGTGGGGAGAGGGATGGGGGCAGTCTTCCTCTGTGGCCCCCAACCCCGGAGCAGCCTGCTTGCTGCACCCCAAACTCCTCATCCTTGGCCCAGCCCCATGCCCCACACCCCCTCCCACACCCCAACCCTCTGTCCCAGCCAGAGCCTGCACCCAGCACCCAAACCCCCTCCCACACCCAGCACCCCAAACTGCCTTCCATACCCCCTCCTGCACCGCAAACCCCTGTCCAGCCCAGAGCCCGCACTCAGCACCCAAACTTCCTCCCAGAACCTGCACCTCTCCCGCACCCAAACTTCCTCCCAGAACCTGCACCCCAAACCCCCTCCCGCACCCAAGCTCCCTCCCAGAGCCCGCAACCTGCACCCCCTCCTGCACCACAACCCCCTGCCCCAGCCCAGAGCCTGCACCCAGCACCCAAACTCCGTCCCAGAGCCTGCACCTCTCCCGCACCCAAGCCCCCTCCCAGCACCTGCACCCAGAACCCAAACCCCCTCCCAGAGCCAGTACCCAGCACCTAAACCCCCCGTACCCCCACCTGCATCCTAACCCCCTCCCAGCACCTGCACCCAGAACCCAAACCCCCTCCCAGAGCCAGTACCCAGCACCTAAACCCCCCGTACCCCCACCTGCATCCTAACCCCCTCCCAGCATCTGCACCCAGAACCCAAACCCCCTCCCAGAGCCAGTACCCAGCACCTAAACCCCCCATACCCCCACCTGCATCCTAACCCCCTCCCAGCATCTGCACCCAGAACCCAAACCCCCTCCCAGAGCCCGCACCCAGCACCCAAACTCCCTCCCAGAGCCCACACTCAAACTCTCTCCCAGAGCCTGCACCCCAAATCCCCTCCCAGAGCCCACATCCTGCACCCAAACCCCTACCCCACCCAGAACCCCAAACCCCCTCCTGCACCCCCTTCTCACCCCAAACCCCTGTCCCAGCCCAGAGCCCACACCGAGCACCCAAACTCCCTCACAGAGCTCGCATCCAAACTCTCTCCCAGAGCCTGCACCCAGCACCCAAACTCCATCCCAGAGCCTGCACCCCAAACCCCATTCCGCACCCAGACTACCTCCCAGAGCCTTAGGCAGGGAGGGCAGGGGTCAGGACTTGGACCTGTTCTGGGCACCACCAAAAATTATACAAACCTGCTGCCCCGGGACCATCGATGGATTGCCAGTTGCTGCACAGATTGACCAGCAGCTAGTCATCCTGGTGACCAGGACCCGGTTTTCGGGGAGAGGGGCGGGAGGGTCTAAAAGGGGTTTTTTTCTTTCTCCTCAGTTTGCCCTGCTGCGATGTGCAACATTTGAGCTCGTCACCCAATGAGAACATAAGTCAAAGTCCTTCTCCCCCCCTCCCCCCCCCGGCACATTTTCTTAACACCCTCTCCCCAGAAGACCAGTGTAGAACAGCTGCAGGGCCCCGGAGCTGCTTGCCCTTCTCAGGGCTTCCCTGGGGTCCCTGGAGACACCTGTGCAAATGTCAGGCATGTGACATCCAAGCAATGTGGGTTACGGTGCCACGCTGTACCAGCCGCTTTCATCTCTGGAGCTACTAGTCCAGGGCTGGCAGGAAACCCCTGAGTTTCTCATTAGCTCTGTTCATTTTGTGGTTATAGCAAGTGCTGAGAACAGACTTCTCAAGTTTGCTCATGATACATCAGAAGGCAGGAAATCAGGAAAAACAGACACCAAGCGAGAACAAGCACTCTTGCAATTCCCTGATGTGAAGGACCATTTGGCTGCCCTCTGGGAGGTGAGAGCCTAGCTCTGGATGAGACGGATGGAAATGATAATGTGACTGGGAAGGGAGTTATTGCTCTCTGGCCATGGAAATCTAAGAGCAGCTGGTGTCCACCTCACTGCAAACAGGTAAGGGAAGGGCAGGGGCTGTGAGCAGCCCTGGAATGGTGTCCTGGAGTGGGAATCAGGGATTGCCACGGTGTGGGGTGGCATGACGGGTGTGCGCTGGCTCTTTCAGAGCCCCAGTTGGGGAGTAATGGTTTCTTTGGGGGAAGGATGACCCCCAAATGATACCCACTTACCTCCTGGGAGGGAGTGAAGTGAGCATTGCAGTGAGTCCGTCAAGGATCTATCACCATAGCATCTGGGCGATACATTTGGGGATGGAGCGAGGAAGATTTAATCTCCTCAGCCTCTCCTGTTGGTTTCTCTCGGGGCACACTGTGTTGGTTTGGGGATGTTTGGACAGACAGACCCACATTTTAGTCTTGAGTTGGTCATGGACAGGCTCCTGAGTTGCTCCCTCCAAAACAAAACTTCTCCAAAGTGCCCCGTCTGCCCACATACTAGGAAT